GATACCACTCTCACACTAAACAAGCTTATAGTCAAGAGAACATCTTAAAAAAAAAGAAAAGTATTAATAAGACTTTAAGGTCAACTTACTTTAAGGTCAAGTTACCTGGTGACCAGTTCAGAACAAACCAAAGTGATTCTTCATGCAGTGTGTGTGATGTGAAGCTCTGGAACTCCTAACCCCAAATTCTTTGGATACCAAAAGTTTACGTGGGTTCAGTGGAGGCTCAAAAATGTCATAAAAAGGAATCTATTGCTTGTTTAGTAAAACACCTGGATCACCTCTGGCTCGTGGCATTCCTAAACCACAACATGGTGGAAGCTGAGAAAGTATTATTAGGTGAAGTACCATAAATGCTTGTCCTACATTCACATTGCCTAGTCATCTCCTTTTGACAGACACACTTCTGGGCTAGACGGGCATTTGCTATTATCTCAAACATCCATCCTTATGTTCTTCCTACACTGGTCCCTAGCAGACTTGCAGAAAATACTCAATTCCCATTGAGTTAAAAAATGTTCTGGAATATAGGTTCCTCAGAAATTTTATTCATACTACATACCTCTGATTTGTCTGAATCATGATTCACCTCACAATATTAGACAGGCTTATAAATAAAACAGTAAAAAAACTTGCATTGGTAAGATCTTAAGGTTAGGATATCAGAAACAGCTATTTAATAAAACAAATATACAATGTAGTCTTAGCTTCAGTTTGTCACATGCTTATCTCTTCAGTTGTTCTTCAGCCAACAAAATTGGTAAATCATTGTTCAGATTTCCCAGTGTTACCTGAGCTCAGAATATAACGATAGTTTGAGAAGCTCTCAGTTCTGTCCCACTTAAGACTAAGCAGTTCTTTCCAAATTCCAATGTGTTTCCCAACACTGAGGCTACAGTTTCACAGTCAACAACAGTGTTGTTTAGTTGCCATTGCCTTTAAGGGGCATTCTGTGATAAAAAAGGAGGTAGCCTTGATGACTCTCCCTGTAGACAGCCATTTAGTGCAGCTGACTGTGATTCCCACTGCAGATTTTTACTGGATTAGCCAGGGAGGCTCTGAACTATGCAAATCCTCTTTTCTGGGATTTGATGTCTTTGGTGCTTAAAGAAGATATCTCCTTGCTCCTCTTCACCCTGCTGGCAAACTGCTTCTTAACCAGCCTCAAGTGTTCTTTTATGCAGTTATTAAAGCATTCTTTTTAATTGTATACAGAATATTGATCATGTGCAGAAACACAGTTTCTCATATGTTCCTTTGCTTTTCCATTGTACTTTTGACATTTTCACTTTTTTCTACTTCCATCTGTTACGTCCAAATCACCCTGTCATTATTTTGTAAACATAGCCCTTTTTGTAAATTAGCAGGTTGTGATACCGATGTCTTTTCCTATCTTATGATGTCTCCCAAACATGCCTGTCTCTAAAAATGAGTGTCTTCATAATGATTATGTTGTCTTGATAACTGTATAATACCAGCAAAAATGGTAAAGGACTACTGACCTTTTGGAACAGAAGGTAATCTAGGTAATTACTTTTAAAATTTTAGCACCCGTAATAGAAATCTTTATTAAAAGATTTTTGGTCAATACTTCCCAAAGTGTCTATTGACTTCTTCTGCATAATGCCTTTTAGTGCAGTACGTTTTTCTTGTAGTTTCATATATATAAAAAAAAAAATTTGATTTTGTTTTCTGAATTCTCTGTAATTTTATGGCAGTCTGTGAGAATTGATGTTAATCAACAAATTAAGGTATGCCAAATATATTTTATCATTAGAGTTTGTGGGCCACAAAATAGACATAGTTCAGGTAGGTGATTGCCAAGCAGTCGTTCTGTAATTTGGATCTCTGGAACTACAGAAATTGAGAAGAAGGGGTCTATCAGATGTGGGCAAATTCTGCCATTTTCTATCCGTTCGTATTTCTTATGTACACGTGACTTTACTATTCGTAATTTTTGTAAATTAAAAAAAGGAGAGTATCCATGAAAAATAAATTAAAAGTTTTAATTATTGAAAACATCTAAAACATGCTCACCCATGCGAGTCATAAGATACAGGTAAAAATAAATCAATATAACCTAACTTACAAACACCAGGGGAAAGATCCAAGCCTCGTAAGATTGTCTGAAAGCCAGAGGAGAGAGCTCAATGAACTTCTAAAGAGTCTTGGTAGTGAGCAAGGGGCTTTTTGGTGCACAAAGCATATTTGGTGTGTCTGAATTTGTGCCCTCTCTGGAGCTTAAGGCCCTGACTTGCAGTAGACATTTCTTTCCACTTAGGATCCCGAGTGCTCTGTTGCAGAGCATTAAGACATAAAAGAACAAAGTTCTGTTGTTGGTGATGCTACCACTAGTGTCTTTTTATTGGTAGAGACAGTGAGAGCATCCTCACCAACTGGCTATGGTGTGGTCTGAAAAAGGGTAGAAGCTTTCTGTTGAAACTGTTAGCCAGAGTCATAAGGCTGGCAGGAGAGCAAGAGAAGGGAACATGAATTCATCCCAGTGATTGGGGAATACTCCTGAGATGTAGGAGCTGTTTGTCTAATCTCTGCCGACTGAGGGGACTGGCAGTCTCTAAGCAAGCTCTCCAACATATGGACTATTATGCAAATGTGCTACTATATAATAGAAGAAACAAAAAAAGTCATGATAGTGCTTGCTAAGTCTATTATGAACCCTGTAATGCCACTAGTTTTCACTTAAATGTGTAAGTTAAATGTACTCTTATGAAACTCATTTCAGTCTTGTGAAGAGGGAAAGAA